TGGATATGCCATACATGATAATAAGTCGAATCAAAACATATCAGGTCAATAAAACAGAGCGATTCTGGCTATACGAATAAAGCAATAGAATGATGATTATATAATCAACAATAAATTGCATCTAAATTGAGTCGTATACAATTATAAAATATATTAATACATTTTACATGTTTACTTATTTTATTGTTAACATTTTATTTTTAATGGCGACTGACGAGGGATGATGAAGCACTTTTACTTTATGGCTTATTTTGAACTTTGGTTTTATATAGGATTCTATCCCCTTTAACTATTAAATCCTCTAGTTTACGTCCATGCCTATACCCATACAATTTAAGTGTATTATTCGTATATTACTATTGTGGGTATTCAGACAACATTCGGATTTGAAATTAGGTGCGGGCTCTGATAAAACTCAGTTTTGTTCTCGCCTATCCACCCATAGAATATTAAAATATGATGTACTTGTATACGTCCGTGCCTGTTTGTGGTATAGTACCTCTGCTGATGCAGTTCAACAGATAAGAATAAACTTGGATTTTGAATCAGGATTTTTTTTCCAATTGTTAGTACACAGAATTTGTCCATGCCTCAACTTTTTCGGGATATTTCTTACTAAGATACTATTAAGTATCTACTACTATCTCCTAAGATCTTATCTTACTAAGTATATCAATAACTTCTTTTTATAACAGAGAAATAACTTAGGAGTATTTACTCATCGAATATTAATAATTTAAAATCCTCCATTCTTACTAAGTTATGGGCAAACTACCCTTATTATAGTTTATATACATCAAACAAACTATAAGAATTAAATTATTATAATATCTGTCAAATTAAAATAGGTATCTGAATTTATAATTATTTTAGACTTTACGATATTCTTCTTAAATTTAGTATTGAATAAACTTCATCAGAAAATAGACATTGTATGGAACCACTCTTAAACTAACACAAAGATTTTTAATATGTTAAACCATGCATATAAATGCAAACATACTAATTTTAATGATAATTGTGCCCCATCCTAAATACTTAATGCATAACAAAAAAAAAGAAAAATTAAATCAACAAAAATACCATTAAAACCTGTTGGACTGCAGTCGTATTACAAATAAATGCCAATGACCTCATATAGATATTATATATTATTGCGTATGCATTTAATGGGAGATGAATTTTTCGCAATGTGTTAACTATAGAATAAAATGAGTTGTACCGATATACCCATCACAGTATAATCACTAGACTTGCACATACGYGCCCTGAAATCAGTGAGACAAGTTAAATGTATATACTAATGTTTATATATATATACCAATACGTGTAACGGAGTGTTATTTGAAAAGTCGCCAAAATAGAGATTATATATNCGATGCAACCCCTGGGGCAGGTTTCGTATTATATTATTTGCAGTATCCCTACTTACTATATTATTATGATCGCCGAGTGGCGCGCAGTCCACGCGTACTGTGCGCTAGAAACACGCAATAACATATGAAATACCTATTTTTACGACGGAGCTTCCGTTCCTCCGTTGCCTATTGCCATGTCTATCTAACCACTACCAAAACTTATACCTATTTGAGGGTTAGACTAACCTGTTGTCATCGTGATTACGGAGTTGTGGCTGATACTGATGCTGTTCCGCTTCTCGCTGATGTAGCTCKTGAYCACTTCYGATGCCAAAGTTCTCCCTTGGACTAACAACGCGCGTACATCGCCCTTGTTCGTGTGCCGCAGAAGCTGTTACTATAAGATTTATTTATCCGTTTACCGTTTGGACGTCACACGGCGATCAGAATAAACTTATGCACTCGYGACAAACCGTCGGACTGGCTTAAAATATTTTACAAGAAATGTTTTGAGTGCGATATATTATAATTATGCCTGACGAACTTTCAGCAGGTAAATAGTCTATTTGATATTACTGCCGATGAGCTCTGGACAAAAAAACTGACGAGAGCGTTAAACAATATTATGCTCTCTGCGCGTCGCGTATCATGTATGTGTGAGTTGTTATTGTTGTAATTATTTGTATTATTATTATTGTTGTTATTGTTATTATCATTCGCACCAGACGATGGTGGCGGTGGCCGATTGGGAGAGCATGCGCGCGTGTATGTCGGGAAGTCTGGACGACCGGAGCACTGCTACTGCGATCGGCGGCGGCGGCGCGCTCGCTCGGTACGGTGTCGGTTTGCTAGCGAAGCCGAGCCGCCGCCACCGCCGCCGTGCGACCCACAGRCGACCTTCGTGCTTGGCCGGCTTCGATCCAGATGGTGTTAGTGCAATGCTCGGCGACGGCCGCGGCGTTGCCACGTGACGAGATACAAAATATCCTCGGCCGCCGTCGCCGCCCAAGTTGCCTCCACCGCCACGACTTTTTTCACATCCTGTCCGCCGCCAGTATTTATACGGTGACCGGCACTCCGTCACCTCCTCATCACCATCCACACCGCCACCCACCTCGAGTCCAGCGCATTTGTCATAATAATAATAATAATAATACAGTGTATATATTATATATTATATATATATACTATTATTGTAATTTTCCACTCTCACCGGTAGCTCGTGTGGGTTTACATATTATCTTGATCCGTCGTCTCCCGACTTTGGTGTTTTATTTCTTCTTTCCCTCTCTCTATTCGTTCGTTTCTCTTTCTCTTTCTCTCTCTGTCTCTCTCTCTCTCTCTCATCTCTTTTTCTCTCTCTCATCTCTCTGTCTCTCTCTCATCTCTCTGTCTCTCGCCACAAATCATTTTGTCTCCACAGCGCCACGTCATGTCGAAAAGCTCCCGAAATTACGATTTTTTTTTTTTGTTTTCCCGATGATATTTTCTTTCTGCTCGCTGTAGAGTTTCCACCGCTCCGAAGAACAGCCGATCGTTATGATAACAATACTATCGTATTGACTGCAGTCCARATGCASGACACGTATATAACAAGTAATAACAGCCTATTACACGGCGTAACAATTGACCAGTGTACGCGTAATGATAATTGTGTACACGTGTCGTGGTCGACGGCGATACTTTCTATATACCCACCGAATCGCAATAATTATATTTCTTCGTCCACCGTCACAGGACTCGAAGGTAATAAATTGTATACGTTGCCGTGTTTGTGCCTACGTTGGTCCACTCGTGTGCCGCACGATTTGCCTATCGCCTATTGGAGTATTGTTATTTTACATTTCATCGCTGTAAAGCCGATACCGCTSGAGCTGCTGTATACTGCACCAAAACTTGACGAGAGGTGCAGTGCTCGTTTCACTACCCACGTACGTACATTAATTAGTACCTTTGGTTACGTGTTGCGTCGCAGAACTTTAACGCATTTTTCAGGCGTATATACGATCTATATGTATATTACATTACACCGTGGTCTGAGGGTCTGACACAACCTCAAACTTGGTTCCTCGACAGAGCTGTAATATAACTATAGGTACCTGTGTATTGTTTTAAGGCGCTTAACTAGAGAGACTAAGGATGAGGGAAGGGAAGCTTAGCCGAGTATTCACGTTTTTAGCCTCCTTAAATACATTTATACTTATTAACACCTCCTGCTTAGGTTAGATTGTGAAATCTAAATTTTCAAAAAAAAAAAAATTTCAGGTGCGTTCATTGCGTAAAATTTTTAATTTAATTTAACATAATTGATTATTACGTTTGTAT